GGGGGGGGGGATTTCTCACTTTCTGTCTCTCTGTCTCTCTCTGTCTTTCGGGCGAGCACATGCGCCCTATAGCAAAAACCTCTCAAAAAAATTTTCAAAAAAAAAAAAAGAAGTGAGGGTGGAGAGCAGTGGACAGACTCAAGTTAAGCTGGGCCTGCAGGGAGTGGGGCACGCAAGGTTGAGCTTTCAGAGAAGTGCCATTTTAGTCACAGAAAAGAGAGGGACAGAGAAGTAAAGAAAGAGACAGGTAGAGGGAAGGGCAGAATCAAAGGTCAGAGGCTGAAAGGACCACGGCCTTCTATGCCAAAAAACATGGCTGAGCTCCCAGAGCTCAGTCTGAGTGCAGCCACCCCCACCCCGCCGGCGGCCCTGGTAGGAGCTGAGCTTTGCTTCACCTTGTTTCATCCTGGGCTTCTGCAAGAGCCTTGAGCTCTCAAGGGGACACTGGCAAGGCTGTGTGTGCATTTGCTACAGAGAAGCCCGAGCCTCAGAGAGCGCTCCATCCTCTCCCATCCCCACAGGCTGCCGTGGCTGCAGCGGGGCTCAACACCCTGCTCGAGGGTGACGGCCAGTTCACGCTCTTGGCCCCGACCAATGAGGCCTTTGAGAAGATCCCTGCTGAGACCTTGAACCGGATCCTGGGCGACCCAGAGGCCCTGCGAGGTGAGCACTCTCAGCTGCTGCTGCAGCCTCAGTGTAGCCAGGCTGAGCCCAGGACCTATTCTAGTCCCCAGGGGTCAAGGCACAGTCTCAGGGTCCCAAAGGCTTCCTGGAGGAGGTGAGACTTAGATGCTTCTCAGCATGTTTTTAGAGCTAGGCTCTCCACTGAAATATGTTTTGTACAGAGCATATTTTTATCTTCATAGAGAGCAGAACTCTTTACTGTAAGCTGAAAAAAAAGCCCCAATTTTTTTTCCCTTTTGCGAATCTGTCTTTGCCTAGTCAGTAAACAGTCTACTTGAAGCCAGGGCCCTCTGCCTGGTGCTGTAGCTACTAGACTTGAAGAGAAGGTCCTGGGCCCACCGTCCTCAGTCTCCTGTTGTTACTGGCAGGTTTGCAGACTGGCACACAGCCACCCTCTTTGGTGAGCCCCATTTGAAAGCCAGCTTCTAATCTGGCCCCGGTCACCCTCTGATTGGTCCTGGCAGATCACCTCTACCCAAGCTTGGGCTTCAGCTTCCTTCTCTAGGAAGAAAACCCCCAAAGGCCTGGTTTCTTTCTCTCTCTGTTGGGTCCTTTTGCTTCCCCTCCAGCTGAAGCTGGTCCACACTGGCTCTCAAGGCCGCCCGCAGCCCATGGCCCGAGCCTCTGCAGGGCCTCAGCTTCCTCCAGTCCATGACAGCGCAGTTTTGGTTCCCACACTCAGGGCAGATGACTTGCCTCTGTGAAGAGAATGCAAGATACTAGGCTGCTGGTGAGCAGCAGCCCAGGAACCTGCTCAGCCTGGAGCAGCCGGAGCCACACCCTCTATGACCAGTCCAGCTCCCTCTATCCAGCCTGGCTGGGCAGTCGGAGGGGATGGACCCCAGTGAAAGCCATGACTGGGTTAGGAGCCATCCTCGGGCCCCCAGTCCCTGCTCTGCCTTTTAATGTTGCACTTGGACAAACAAATAGATGAGTCTATTCTGTTTTTGTAAATTTTGCCAGAGGGTATGTGCACTCGCCAAAGAGAGACAGGGAGAGAAGGAGAAAGCACACCCATTGGTCACACTGCAATGCCTTCACCCCTCCCTCCTGCGGGGATCCCGGTCACACATGCACACATATTGGGCATGTTTTTCAAGCTACCAGGTCCAGGACTTGAATCACAGAATTGACCATGTGGGTTCCAGCTACCTTAACCACCAGGCCACGGAACCAGCCCTATATCCATTATTTATGGGTGTGGTAAATGGGATGGCCAAGGCCATGCCTTATTGATCCCCATTCCCGGCCCCTAAGACAGATCCTGGCAGCTAATACCCCCTTGGGTAAAATGAAAAGCAACCTGAACCAATAAAATGAACGAATGTTTAAAATTGTCATTTGCTACAGTTTTCATCTTTTCCTACCACATTTTACAGTTTTATGAAGATCAGTTAGCCTCATTTGAATTGTTCCTTTCTCCTCTGAAGTTCAAGTTTTAATAGGCGAAATCACCCTGAAGTACAGGTCTCACGAACATTCTTTGAGCACTGACTCTGCTGCCAGGCCCTGTGCTGAGTGCTATAGCTTCGAACTCCGTGGCATCCTACCCCTGTGTGGACACCAACGCTGTTCTTAACTGCACTTGGCCAATGAGAGGTTCAGACTGTGGGAGGCTAAGTGACATGCTGAAGGTCCTACAGCTGACAGTGGCTCTGGAATCACTTAGGCAGACTGACTGCAGAACTTCGGTTAATTTCAGAGGGCAGGGCAGGAGGGAGAAGGGTCTGGACCCTGCGGTAGCCCAGCTTTGTCTGAGGTTCTTCTCTGAGAGAACGGAGTCCTCACAGCTGAGGGCAGGCTGCAAGCTGGGCCCCCTGGGTTAGCCTGGAGCAGGCTCTGGCCTGACCTGTGTCCTGTGTCCTGTTCTGCCCCCCAGACGGAACAATCACATACTGAAGTCAGCCATGTGTGCTGAAGCCATTGTGGCAGGGATGTCTGTGGAGACCCTGGAGGGCACGACCCTGGAGGTGGGCTGTAGCGGGGACATGCTTACCATCGACGGGAAGGCAATCATCTCCAATAAAGACATCCTGGCCACCAACGGCGTGATCCACTACATTGATGAGCTGCTCATCCCGGACTCAGGTAAGTCAGGCCTTGGGGGTGGGGGGTTCACTCCCACCTGACCCCCTGTCCCCTCACCCTGGTGGCGGGGAGATTCAGGGATCACTGGGGCCACTTCCCTGGCTCAGAGTCTCTCGGTGCAAGCCAGCAGGTTGTGGCAAGATTGTGAGGAGTCTTGCACTTCAGGCATGGGGGTCCAGATATGATCTGGGAGGCCATGGAGAGCCATTGAAGGTGTCTTGGGGGAGAAGCACGGTCACAGAAACATTTCAGGAAACCCAACTGCTGTGGTTGGGGACAGGGGGCCCATGTGCTGACCTTAAAGCATTTGCTTTCTCAGTAGTGCCAGGCATGCCCAGGGCACTGACCAGGGAGGATGACTGAGTGGACTTTGGCTCATGCCGCATTTAGCTCCTGGCCCCATTCTGGAATTCCAGGGAGGACGGAGCCTCACAGGAAAAAGTCCAAACTCTTTCTGTGGGTGTGGTCACTGGCCATCTCTGCTCTGTAGAAGCCATAAGGCAGACAGTGCTGCCTGCCTCGCCCGCATTGGTGTCCTGACCAGCCTGCCCCTGGGCCCAGGACAGAAGCCGACTTCTGCCCAACTGATGCTCCTCTCGCTTCCCCAGCTAGTTAGCTTTTCCGGGTAACCGTTCCCCTGATGACACAAACCTGCTGGGCCCTGCAGTGTTTAGAGGGGCTGTTGACTCACGAGATGACATGCCTGCTGTTGTATGTCATGCTCTGGGGTGGATGAACGATAAATGAAAACAACACTTTAACTTTTGAACCCACTTTCTCCTTCCTCATAGCCAAGACACTATTTGAGTTGGCTGAAGGGTCTGACGTTTCTACAACCATTGACCTTTTTAGACAAGCTGGCCTCGGCACTCATCTCTCCGGAAACGAGCAGCTGACCCTCCTGGCACCCCTGAATTCTGTATTCAAAGGTAACCCAGGGAAAGCATATTTGTCCGTTTGTCTCTGGGGACAGCTGTCCCACTCCCATCACCTCCGCAGCTCTCTCGCTGGTTTACAGCACCCGGTGGAACGGTAGAACTTCCACCCAGCTCAACCGAAAGCAGATGTGACCAGCAGGAACTTCGGACGCTCTATTGTTTCACTTGGCAGAGCCCTGACATCAGGGATCCGCTGCTCCAAACTCACGTTGCATCTGTCTGGAGAGCACAGCATTCTCGTGCCTTTGGATTTTTAAGTTTATTTCTTCCATGAGCAAGAGGGAGAGAGAAAAAGTGAGAAAGGAAGAGAGTACCTCCAACAGGGCCTTGATGCCATATCCACCCTCAGCCTCTGCCAGCCCCAGATTGTGGGCACCTAGTGCCCAGTATATTCAGGGAGGTCTCTGGACCTTCCTGGGTGGGGTGGCATTGCAAAGCATCATGTTTTACCGTCTGGCCCCTCACTTGTCTTTTATTTGCAAATTCAACTGCCAGTGTTTAGTCAGGAGGTCGGAGTGAGGATCCGCAAGAAAAGGAGAGAGGGGGCCAAGTTCTGTGCATACTTGCTCTTCCTTCTTGGGGCAAAACTCCAACCACCCTCATTATCTGGACATTTATTGCTTTTTTTTTTTTTTTTTTCACAGAAATTGCCAGATGTTAAAGAATATTGGAAGCCTCATTTGATTTTGCAATCTGTATTTTCAAACTCCAGGAGGGATGAGCTTTTCCCTGTATTCATCTCTCATCCTTCTTTTCATTTCAGGATCATGTCTCTCTGGAACTAACCGTACCTTCCCTTACAGATGGAACCCCTCGCATCGATGCCAAGATGAAGAATTTGCTTCTGAACCATATAATTAAAGACCAGCTGGCCTCCAAGTATCTGTACCATGGACAGACTCTGGACACTCTGGGTGGCAAAAAACTGAGAGTTTTTGTTTATCGTAATGTAAGTTCTGAGTTCTAAACCACAATCCTTGTTCTGTTCAGCGCTAAGAAATGGAAGTTGTACTAGTATTTTTTTAATGTTCTCAATGAGCAGGAGGTTATGTGAGAAGTGGATTCTAATAAGGAAGGAAGGAAAGAATTTCTTGAAAGTATAATATGTACAGGTTGAGTATCCCTACTCCCAAAATCCTAAATGCTCCAAAGTTTGAAACTTTTTGATCACCAGTTTGATGCTACAAGTAAACTATCCTAAATCTAACCTCGTGTGACAGCTAACAGAATGTTACAATACCAAAATAGTTTATAAAATTCCCTTCAGGCTATCTGTGTAAGGTGTATACAAAACAATGAATTTCATATTTAAAGTTGGGTCCCATTCCCAAGATACCTCACTGTATATGCAAATATGCCAAAATCAAAAAAAAATATTGAAATCTAAAACACTTCTCTTCCCAAGCATTTTAGCGAATGGATAATCAACTCACATGATATCAAAATGAGATCTTGTAAGATCCTCATCCCCTTTTCTGCAGGCTTTGAGAGCAAACCATCCACTTGTCTGGCTTGGATTGTTGAGCAGTAAGTCTGTCTAGAACTCAGAAGGATGAACACATGAGAGGAAGGATGAAAGTTTTGAATCTTTCTTAGCTTGTGTGAAGAGAAGCTCCCT